TTTAAGTGTGAAGGAAATATCCTAAAATAATGTAGGAAATTAAAACATGGCACTGCCTATTAAATGTGTGAAAATGGATATAGACCAAAAGGGATCCTAAATAAGCAGGTATTTGAAACCACAATCATATCCAATTCAGAAGATTTATATAACCTAGGAATCAATTTCCTTTCACTCCATTGTTGCTAAAGCCAGTAAATAGAACTTAGTGATAAGGAAAATTAATGTCAGTTTAAATTTTTTGCAGCTAAGTGGCTAGAAAATACACAGTGCTGGCTCAGACTCGTGTCATGGGTTGTATAGTGATGGCAATGCCTTGAAACATGCATCACATCACATTGCTGTGTAGCTTTAACCTCTTAAGTTGGCACTTAAGTGAACACGTGTCAAAGTTGTTGGTTCAAGGCTGTTATAAGCAGATGTGCTACCTTTTGAACTAAAGTGTTTTAAACTGGCATTCTTTGAGATGTTTAAATTGATAGGCTTAATAGGGTACAATTCTGAAAACGCTGATGTAGAGTTTTTCTTCTGTAGGTATTCTAGCTAACAGTACCAGCTCTGAGAGTAAATCATCCCCTGACCAGTAAAACCACTTGACATACTGCTGTTTGGAAAAGCTGCTGTGTCGTGATGGAAAATGTGTAACATAAAAGATGAAATGTTCTCTATGAAATGCTGTAGCGCTGAATTTTCTCCCCTCCTCTTCACCCCCACCTCCCCCCCACCATTTTCAGGGACAAAAAAAATAATACCGGGTAGATGTGTCAGAGGATGTTTTAAGGAAATGTGATTTTAAATTGCTAGAGGTTTGATCTTGAAAAAAACCTTTCCATTATTGAAAATTAGACAGAAATTCCTGTAGAATTATAATGTTGGTATTACCTTAAATTACAGGTAAGTTTGAATCTTTAACTGAAACACTGAATGGCAGTTTCTCTAGGTCTTTAACATTTGCTATTTAATACAGGTCAGGAGGATAGCAGTGTTTTTATCTTGACAGGTTGCTTGTTTATTCGGTTGGGTTAATGTGGGCCAAATAGAAAAGGAGCTGCCTATGGCATCCATCAACAAATGAAATACAAGCAATAGCATATTGACTTCTCTTTCATGAGTGTCTGTTGGAAAGAATAAAAAATGTATAGGGCTACAATGATGTTGAGACTTAAATTCACTGACATAGTTGCTATTTAAATATTAATTTACTGTTCTTCAATGATGCTAGGAAGATTAAATGTCTAGAAATTCTCTTATTTGGTCATAAAATAATGGGGTTTGTTGTTCACCCCTGGATATTCTAAGGTAATAAAGGAATTGATTTTTCATTGTATAATTATTGTCCTTTAGGGGAAAATGTGGCATCTTTTTCTGTGCAAATACGGACAAGTCCATCAAATTTTACCCATTAAACTACATCCCAATAGAGAGCACAGGTCCCTATAAAAGTGTATAATTTAAAAAAAATTATCAGTTCTGTAGATAAATGTTGACTACATGATGCACAATATATTTTGTTTTTTTTCTCTGAACTTACTTCCCTAAAAGCTACAATTTTTACCGTGGTGAGGAAGAGGTGCTGCACTTCTCTGCTTAACAGAGATGCTGAAGTTTTTTCCCGTTCCTTGTCTTTCTTATTCACTTTATTGGAAGGTATTAAAACTAAAGCATGTTATTCATTCCTTTAAATTTATAAGCTAGATTTGAAAATACTTTTTTGTATAAAATCAGTAAAAATTATATTCCAAATACATCTACTCTTTCATATGCATGTATCTAGAGAACTGGTGATAATCATCAGAACATCTCCAACTCTTCCAGTATCTGAAGAACCCTAAAATAATTTATTTAAAACATAACTGACCTACGAAGAAAATTCCATACAATGAGAAGACTCTTTTGTGGGATAAATTATTGACTGAAAAGGTGGTGGACTGATTCACACTGTATCTAAAACTGACTCATCTGGTGGATAAACTCTAATACACAGATTTATGTTGAAGGGAATGTGCTTAATTTTATGTGAATGTGTAATTGGAAATGATTCATATATTGCACAAAACCTAAATCTAATTAACTCAAGCCCAGGCACTGCTCTCTTCCTCTGACTTGGATCCCTTGCAACTTCTGGCTTCAAAGAGTTGGCTCTGAAATGTGATTGTTCCTCTCTGAGGGATGTGATTGAAAAGTGTACCATGCAGTTGGTTTCTCTGGATTCTTATCTTTCATGGGCAATGACAAAATTATACTTCAGGGTTTATTTTTAATTGACTGCTGTAGCTGAATGTTGGATTTCACAAAAGTTCTGAACAAAAAACCAATGTTTTTTGTTGCATCTTCACCTTGATTTTAAATCAGATTGATTTAAATACATTTTTTACTCTTTAAAAGGAATACAGAAACAATTCAGTTCAACAGAAAACTGATTAAATACCTTTGTATTCACAAAGTTTGCTATTTATACTATAGGTGCTGGTTTTGTTTATCATTTTCTTGTTACTTCTCAACAGACACAGAATTAATAACTGACAAAAAAGACACAATAGAAAGTGTCCTAGGAATCAGAAACAGAGAAGGATTTCTCTGAGACACTCTCAGAATGACTGAGGATTCTTGCCTTGCTTGGTTTGTTGTTTTTTCTAGAGCCAGTTCAATTCAAGAGAACAAAATGAAGCTATTGAGAAACCAGATCAAAGGAGGACACTTTCTGAGGATTATTTTCGGCATAGAAGGACTTCACAGCATAGAATCATTTCCATCACTGTTGTGTACTGGGGCTGAAAAAACCCAAACAACTTCTCTACAAGGTGCTGTTGTTTAATAAATGCACAGAGAAAGAGCTGTGGTAAAAAAAATAATAATAATAATGTTGTGGTTTATCCATACTGCTTCCTTAGTAAAGGAATTTGAGACATAATTACAAAAAATTACTAACTTGCCAAGACGACTGTTCTAGTTATTAAAGTGGTTCCTAATGTGTTCTTTTCCAGTTACCAAAAAAGTAGGCTATAATGGAGGTGGGTACCACAAACATGCAACATCCCTTTAGGAATGGACTTGGAAACTGATGATGCCCTAATATTCATAGTTCACAATGCAGGGGAAGTCTTTCCTTCCTTTATCATCTCTTCATCCCACAAAGAAGTCCATAAGTTGGAAGCTGTTTTGAGTATCTTTGCTGCTTGTTCCATTTGAGGTTATAGACTCATCTCATTTTACTTTCATACTCCACAAAACTGCAGTGAAATCATCTTGCTTTTCATTCCTGCTAAAAGTCATGAGAGTCATTAATCTCAAAATAACTACTGGCCCACCTTATATAAATAAATATGGACAAACTATCCTTGGTACAATAAAGAGAAGTCAAAACATCCCACAGGTCTGAAACCAGACTTGTAAATATTTTGTAGGTGGCCATGCATTGTGTTTATTTGTCAGAAGTAAAAAGACCAAAGTACTACATCTCTTCATAACAATTCTAACCTTTTTTATATATTATTGTGGACTCTTATTATTATAATGTGGACCTTTATTATTTATAATGTGGACTCTTATTCCCATAACTCTCTATGATGCTTCCAATATTGCTGAGCCATGTACATATCAGTACATAGTCTTTTTGTAATTTCAAAAAGATGGAATAACACTTTGTTGGCACAGGTACTTGAAGACTACAGTTTCACTATTTCCTTACTATAAAAGTGTATCTGAACCTTAATTCAACCTTATATCACAAGCAAATGTTTTGCATTACACGTCTATGTGAAAAGGCATCACCACAGGGCTACGAGGCTGCAATAAAACTCGAGAGACACAACACTTCAAAAGATCGTAAGAGTCATTTAGATTTGAGATTTGAGTGGTCTATCCCCCAGGAGTGGTAATGCAGCTTTCACACATGATGTCTGAGCTCATACCATGACACTCTCTGGTTCTGCCTGAGCTGAGTGTCTAGACTTGAGCTACAGTGTGTGTGTGTCTGTGTGTTTGTGTAAATATATGGATTTATGGAAGAATTCTAAAGGCTCTCCTAAGAAAAACTTGTCATTTCTAAATATGTTTGAACAGATCTGTTACTTTTGCCCTGTTAATAGTTGTTTTAATGTCAGACTAGTTGTCTGAATGCCTTTCGAATATATTGTCTGAAGTACCATTTTCTCTTTCCCTCCTGCACCCCTCTCAGCCAGCTTATATTGTCCAATGTGTGCAATGGTGTTGACAGAAAAACCTTCAATGAATCTTGAGAGCTTAGGAAGGGATTACAGCACAAGAGAACATCTGGGAGTTCAGTTAGAACATTTATTTGGATTATCCCTCAGATTCCACGGCAATAAACAAGATGCTCCAGAAGTCAAAAGAACAGTGGCAATTTGAACTGATTAAGATTCTGGCTCTTTATTTGTGATGAGGGAATAAGTTGGTGATATGTGGTATTACAGGTGCCTACAAGTAGAAAATAATTTTTGAAGATGCTGATAGGAAAATTCTCAAGAGATTGAGCTATACATGGATCAAAACTCCTTTCCTTTCCACTGGTGGTTTGAAAAATTATCTATGCTAATGACTGTTAACATAATAATTGTGTTGGAAGAGGAAATAGGAATTGTTATTATCCAAATTACATTTTCAGAAACAAAAATGTGCAGTTAGGTTTTCATCACAGTACAAGAAATGTCCAATCATGCTTAAGCAGACCAGCTTGGATGCATGCTTTTTATTAGGCAACAACATGAGCAAAGCTATACTACTTTTCAACAGAATTCCAGGTACTCCAGTGGAATGGAAGTGCACACATTAGTTGTTTCATAATGCTTCTTAGCACAGTTTTTCATTATGGATTTATGCGCTGATAGGTGGAAAAATCAAGCAGAGTTCTTGATTCATGTTAACATTTACAGCACTTGATGGAGGGGTAAAATAAAAAATTGAATATCGCAATGAATTAGTTGACATGGCAAGAAGTATTTGGGATGTAGTTGGTTTCTTAACCATGTCTTTCTGCTCACCTCCTTCAGGCTTGACTGGTCCATCAGACATCACTTTCCTGAGGGCTAGTTGGCTTTGGTCTTTGTTGTCATTGGCTGGTGGAGGCAGATTGTCAGACTGAGTTCTTTGAATAGGGAGGACTCCTGCTATGCTGTGTCTGTGCTGCTTCCTGGCATGATTAGACTGACCGCTTTTATGTGCTGCTGTGGCAGTGTGGGTGAAATGGAAACCCAGAGTATGTATCCTCAGATGGAACCAGCTTAAATGTTATTCATGCAAACAGAAGTGTTTTTTTTCTGTATTTAAGTACGTAGTGTTTTCAAACACCAAAGAGACACCACATGCACAGCATTAAAGAGTATCAAAACTGGCTGTTTCTGTATTAATGACAGTGAAGACAAGGGAAATATTTTTCCCCCAGTTTTGCATTATACCATGGTGAATTTATGGCATATCAACAAATCCTAAAGACAAACACAATGACTTCACAGTCAGAAAGATTTAATTAACCATCAACTAAACCCTCAGCTAGCAATCAGATGGTACTGGTCTGAAGTATACTCTGGAGAGTAATCCTTTATTCATTAACCTATTTGAAGTTATCAGATGAAATGTATCTTGACCCTTAATCAATCCATGGTAAAAAATTTCTTGAAAAATTGAACTGTGACACCTGACTTAGCTCTCAACTCCCTTTGAGATTGCTAACTTGACAACTGTCTGACATCTTTTGTTGTTACTGGCTCTGTATGTTTAATGGTTTTGCATTTATTCTGTTTAATGTTTTTATTGTATTTCTGTTCTGCTCATCACTAACACAATCTTATCTGAGATATAAAGAAGCTTGCCTTATATTTCCTTTCAAAAAAAAATAAAATAGATATTTACAGTCATGTTTCAAAAATAGAAATCTCAGCCGTGTAGTTAAAAAAAAGTTTCTTTAACTTCAAATCTTTTGTGTGTATAGTACTGTCCTTCATGATTACTACTTTCAGATACATCCTGTTATTAATGTGGTCTCAGTCTTATGTGCAATTTGAAGAGCTGGCAGTTGCATCTCTGCAGGCTTTGATTATTTCATAGGTAGGTATTTAGTGACATCAAAAAACAATAGACTTCTCTGTGAGTCATGCACGACCATGGAACATCATGGACCATGAGTGAAGGGACTGATGGAGAAACAGCCAGTTTCACTGCAGTCTTTATAAAACAAATAAATAAATAAATAAAAGACTTCTAAATACAAGAGTATATTGTAATTATATGTATTCACACACAGGCACACAAAGAAAGACATTGAACAGAGTGAGCACAGTGTGCCAAGAACAGAAAAAAAAAAAAAAAAATAGCCAAAAAGGGAAGGACAGCAGGGAAAAAGGCAACAGATGAACATTAAGCTGCCATGCTGAGGAATTTATTTGCGTCTTTTACTTGGTTGGAGGCGAAGCTGCTGCACAGCTGCTTCAGCAGCGGCGATGGCTGCCCCAGCGTCTTCAAGGTGGGTTTGAGTGACGCTGGATTTGCTTTGGCTGCGGGATGGACCGTGAGAGCGCAGGTGTCCTTCAGAAGAAGATTTGGAGCTCCCTGGGCTGCTGTGGGATTTCTCAATGGTGGGCACCTGCATGTCTACCAGGAAAATGAAGTACAACTCTTGCATTTATTAAAAACAAACAATTTAATTCTCTTGACTGGTCTTTCTAGATGAATTCCAGAACAAGGAATAAAGATTAAGCTGTGCCTTTCCATTTAAAGTATCAGGATATATCATGATTAGGAAACTCTTATGAAGCATTGTTTTCTTACTTCCCCGCTGTTACCTGGCCCAGGGACTAACTTACTTAGTATTGGTTTTTTGTCACCTGTGAATTCGACCTCCTGTGCTGGTTCAAGAGTGGTGGAATGATGGCATAGTGTTTTCAACTTTCTATTCTTTAGTACGTCAAGGCTAAACAGCATCACCTGCACCAGTACCAAACACTTAGCAAATATAAGTCATTTATTCTGAATAATGCCATCAGAAAAATCACAGCCTAACTTACAATATCTTCTATACTTACCTCTAATTCAGACAGACATCTTATATAGACACCAGACCCTGGCAAAACGTTACACAGACAAATAGAGAGGAGATGGAGCAGAGTCTTGTCCCTCTGGGGCTCTCATCTGGATTGTAGATGGAATTATTTTTGCTTTGATTGGACACATAATGCGTTTTAAGAGAGCACCTGTCCACTGACTACTCAGTAAATAAAAGAATTAGAGATAAATTTCTTGGAGCAGGAGACACTGAGATCAATTCTGCTTTTGTAAACATTAGTATATTTCTACTATATCAGCTCCACTGATTTCCAATACAACTGAGCTGTGCTGCAATCCATTATCATTGGCTAGAAATGCATATGCATTATTGCAGCAGAATTGTTGTTCTATAAAATATTAACGTGGCATTTTCAGAAGAAAAAGATTTCATAGAATATTTAAGGAACATGAAAAGCAAAAAGCTAAATATGTATTGAGTTTGCCCAAGGCCATCAAAAAAATGAAAAGAGCATAGAATCTATAGGAGATGAGCAAGGCACACAGAGTCTCTATGCTGCTGTTTTATGGACATAATTACTCAGTAAGGTGGCTGGCAAGATTGAGACAATTTAAGCCTTGTCTCTAACTAATTAATCACAGAGATAAATGCATTTTTAATAAAAATGTATACAAACTTCATACCATTATCTTTATTTTTCTATTAGAACTTACACATAGCAAAGGTTTACACATCATCTGGGAAAATATTTCATATCAGGTGCACCAAGTAATTCCTACCCTTGGAGGGGTCCGGGAAGATTCCATGACTTCTGCTCTTGATGACAGATGGTTTTGGAGATTGCTGGCTACTCTTTTCAGAATGAGATTTCCCATGATCTATGTTTTCACTCTGTTCTTTAAGAGGATACCACCGAGGAGTGTTGTCAAGCTGAGAGATGCTGGATAACTCAATCAATACCTACAAATAAATCAAAGTATAATATACGGCCTGTATCTGACCTATTAATGATTGCATACAGCAGAAGACACTAGAGTTGTGCTGTCAGAAGTTGCAATCAGTAAGAGCGAAGTGCATGAGGCTGTGTGCTGACATATTCAGGACTCTGAGAATGCTGTGACCCCAAACTCAGCTTCAGTAGCATACTGATGTGTCTGAACCAACATGTCTTCTCACCTGGACCTCAGTAAGGACTATGAGCTGAGCCCTTTGACTCAGGCGTAGCTCAACACAAAGATGACTGGGCAGCTTAGAGGGCAGCTTGTGAGCACTAGCTTGACAGCTAGAGTAAAAAGACATTAAAAAGACATCCAGCCATTCTGCCTCTGTACAGATATATTCTAACAGGATAACCAAACAGTATAATTTTCTCCCTTTTATCAGTGCTTTTAAGGGGGGGGGGGGTTGTGAAGTTTCATATTTGTTTTTATTAAGGTCTTCAATAATACGAGATTCATGCTTCTTGACTGCTTAAAATTTTCACATATCCAGAAATAGCAACAAAAAAGAGAAAAACAGGGTTACTCTTGCACTTCACTAAAATAATAGAATTCAACAGACCATTTAGGCATCTAAACATTACTGAGGAAAAAAAAAAAGGAAGAGCAATAGTAATGTGGGAATGAAACAAATAAACTGGTTAAAAAAAACCCCCAAACATTGTAGATGAAATCTGCTCTAAGCCACCTTCATTTTTATCAAGACTTCGTGAAATTTCTTAAAAAAAACCAGAAGTAAAACAAAAAGAGCATTGACACTTATAAAGTCCTTTCCTCCCTTAATAAGCTTGCAGTTGAGAGGGCCAAGGGATGTAAAGTACTGAAATTCATCAGAGAGTCTTGAAGGATGGAAGGCCAAAAATAGCTCTGTGTCTGGCTCTAAAGTGACAGGGTTAAAACTAATGTCAGGTACAGAAGTTTTAAAACTGATAGACAAATAAACTGTGCAACTACCTCAGGGAACAATGTGTTTGTCACTTAATTACAAGACCTTGCATTAGAGAAAGCCTCTTCAAGTTTAGGAATGGGGAAGTCTCCTAACAACTGATGTTTTCTAGGTTAAAAACCTTTTTTCTTTCATTTTTTCCTTTTAGTTTCATAGGTTGTCTATGATCTGGCTTGGTCTTTCTGGTTAGGCCTATAATTAATTTTAACAGATGAACTATTTAGCATGCTCTCTGTTGTGGTTTTTAGTCAAGCTTTGAAAATGACTGGGAAGATAGCATGGCTGAGGATTGTTGCCAATAGGCAGTGCAGCCTGGGGGCTCTGCTTTGTAGGAGGAGAGGTGTCACTCTCCATGGATATGGACCATGATGTGACACTTTTCCTCTGGGGCACACAGGTGCTGCTGGCTCTATTCAACCAAGTCTCTGGGGCTCAATTTGGATATCCCACATCTGATGTTATGGTGCAGGATTCCTCTGGACATCCTGATGCTGAGATACACTGGATGGTCTTTTCCTTTTGCTTCCCTGAATAACTGCTTTCACAACTAAACAAAAAAATAATTCTAGAAGTTGAAGAAAATTTAAAGGGGAAAGCTTTAAATTTTCATGCAGAAGCAGTTGCTGAAGCATCCCTTTTCTAAATGTCATTAAAAAAGGATGTAAATATTCAGTAAAGTCCTGCATTTGGACAAACATGCTGAACTCAACAAGAATATGGTCACAGTATGCAGGAAGAAGTAATCATGTAGCAGCTTCCTATACATTTATTTTAGTAATTGTTCGAATAGTGACACTGATTGCTCAGTTTGGTAGTTACACAAAGGGGAACTGGAGCTGAACTGTGTGGCTTTTTTGCAGAATTCAAATGTAGAATGAGCCCAGATACTCTCAGTTACTCTGTATGACTGATTGATTTTCCTGTGCTTCTGTTTCTAATTATAATATTTATTTGCAATTACATCTTTAATTATTTTTATATCATAGTTATTGCTGGTAATTCTGCATTATATATGCATATGTTTGTTTACTTTTTTTAAAGAGAAAGCCTTCTTCCCCTGAGCACTCATCTTATTTATTATTAATTACAAGATTAGATTTTGCCTGTAGTCATACTTTGGTAATAATATTACTATTTGAGAATGTTAAAAATGAGACTGATCAGCAAGACTAAACTGCTCATACTAAAAGATACTTGTGCATGTGTTAAAATATGGCTTGATGGCAGAATTTAATCCTTTAAACATTTACAAAGACTAATACCTCCTCAGCCTTCCTATGCTATGGAAGATCAAGTCAGACAGCTTTCAGTCATAACAAGAATTTCCCCTGGAGTCACTGTGAACATTGTTACTATCTCACACTCAAAAAAAGTACTCATTTTCAGCAAATTAACATTTTGTTGGGTCCTAAATTAACTTGTCCCCAGTTAATCAAAATAAAAGGGATATATATCTTTCATGTCTAAATCAAAGAAATCATGACCATTTGTTATGAAGAAAACAGTGAAACTAGGATGTAAAAAAAAAAAATTTACTTAACACATGTACCATACCTTGAAAGAGCCCAGTCTCAAAATAACAGCCTGCAATTGTTACTAGTAGAGAGGAAGAAATAATATACTTACTTCACCGAGGAAGTCATTTGAGGAGAATCTATCATAATCCCAGACAGTCACTTCCAGTGTTTTCTTTTTCAGCTGCAATTCAAGTAAAAGCAAAATTAACCTCATAAACTTCAGATCAAATCTTTATGGTGGTTTCTATAGAATATTTCCTCCATGTGTCCTTTTTCATAGTGACAGGTAGGTAATTTTCACCCTCTCATCAACCTTGTTCTGAGAAAAATAATTTGGTGCTATTATTTGTTATCAAGTCAGATGGGCTTGTGCTTGGCCCTGTTTTAGGAATTTCCACAAATTGTTTTGGGTAGAATTTATGTCCACTAAAAGAGTCAAACTTATTTTTAAGACCCCATTATTTTGCTCCAGCAGCTTTTCTCATCATCAGATCTGTCTGAACTCAGACATCTGCCTGAAGTGCATTTGAGTGTGAATTTCAAAGGTATTGTATCAAACACCCTATTTATGTAACCTCATCTATGAAGACCAGGCTTTAATGCCTGCAGAATTCAGAGTAGTCAGTGAGAGTCTGCAAGTGATCCAGGCACGTGGACAA